CTCTGTACAACTGTAGGCAAGTCACAAAACTCACTGAGCCACATTTCCTTCATTTGTAAAATGAGAAGTGATACTAACTTACTTCACAATGTTGCAATCCCTTGAGAAAACTCAATTGGAAACTTTAAAGCATTATGTAAACACTAACTGTTATTGCTTGAACTGTTAAAGCCATAGGAATGAAGGAGCTTGTTGAAGTATTCCAAATTTGAAAAGAACCTGGGCAAGGGGCTTGGGGTTGGGGGTGGAGGTGGGGGAGGGTTGTTAACTGTTAGTTGATAGAAAGAAGGGAAAGAGCAAAGGAAATAGGGAATCAGAAATACTGTATAAGATACATAATTCTCCTGGGAATCACATGAACAAGGAGCTTGTGTTCTATTGAAGGTCTGCACAACCTGCAGTCTGCCAGAGGATTTTGAGCAGCTCACGAAAAATGTAGAGGAAAACATCCTCTATATTTTTCATGGGCCGCCCGAAATCCGTTGGCATGCTGCTTACACTGGGCTGCAGGTTATTGTGGTCCTTTTCTTTTGGATGTTATAGTTGAATATTTTGTTACTTGTTGCATTGGGCCGTTGTTCCTTTGAAGATCTGTAAATTTTTAGAACTATTGCCACGGACTAATGATTATAGCACTAATACATAATAATTGATGATGTAAGTCCCTTGAAGGCAGGCACTTGGTCTCTTCTCTGTATCTACTCCCATTTCCTAGGACGATGTATAATTATTTATTAAGTGCTTATTATGTTCCCAGCACTATTTTAAGCATTAGGGAGGACAAAGAAAAGGAAAACAATCCTTGTCCTCATGGAATTTATAGGCTAATGAGAGAGAGACAAAACGGCAAAGATAAAAGTACATACAAGATGGGCACAGGGTAGATGAAAGGTGGATACTTAATAAATGCTAATAAGTATAAGCACTTAATAAATATTGAATGAATGAATGAATGAATGCATCCGGAATCATAGCATTTTAGAGACGGAAGGAACCTCAGAGGACATGGGGTCAGACCAAGCTGTCTGTGTACTGGAATGTACTGTGCAACACCCCAACATATTATCTCCGACTTCTGCTTGAGAATCTCCAGTAATGGGGGAACTGTGACAAAAATGGTAGACTTTTAGTAATCTCTTTCATGATTCTTCTTAATCAGAGGCGTTTTCCTAATCGTATTCACATATCAGCCCAGTGAAAGTATAACATACCACATTGGCCTGTGAGAATCTGCCACCATGGTGGGGCACCACAGTTGCAACTCCTTAGAGTCATTCTTCAGCATTTACAAATCATATACCCTCTCATCCTTTCCTTTCTGGAAGAACCCCAAGCTGATCCCATGATATCTCACAGAGTCACTCTGCCAGCATCTTTGCTGGATGGAGGAACAAGGAACAATGAACCATGCCATGCCCGGGTGCTGTTGGTCTGGCATGTGCGGGGTTGGAGGAAGACAGATCGGACACTCCCACTTCTCGCCTCCATGACCCTCCCTAATTACATGTGCGCATTGCCTTGTGTACCCATTTCTGTCTCTTTTTGCTGATTATGGGTGAGGTAAAACCCCAGAGGGGGATTATTGACAAGGACCTGGGGCAGCTTGGTGGCACAGTGGATAGAGCACTAGGCCTGAAGTCAAGAAAAACCTGAGTTCAAACCTGTTCTCAGACACTTACTAGCTGTTTCCCTGGGTAAGTCACTTAACCTCTGTCTACCTCAGTTTCTTCAACTGTAAAATGAGAATAATAACAATAGCACCTATCTCACAGGGTTGTTATGAGGATCAAATGAAATAATATTTGTAAAGTACTTAGCAGAGTGCCTGGCACATAGTAGGCACTTAATAAATGCTTGTTTCCTTCCTCTTCCCCTCTCTTCTGCTTAAGCATGAAAGTGTTAGGAGCAGATCTTTTCCCCTGCTGACACCAATGGATGAATCACTGCAGAAGGGAAAAGTAATCCTATGTGGTCTCTCCTTCACTGTGTATATGGCATAAGACAAGGCCATCCATTCAGCCCAGTTCAGCAATCATAAGTTCTGCTCCCCTTTAACAAATTAATATGATGACTTATTTTAGGCTTGTGTTATGCCAGTACAAATACTGTGTTAGGACTTTGTATCTATAGCTCCAAAGCATCTTCATCTGCCTTTTAGAGGGAAAAGTGAGAAATCCAGAGACAACATGGTCCTGTGGAATCAGTGCTGTATAGAGAGTTAGAAGACCCAGATTCCCATTTTGATCCTGATACTTACTACCTTTGTGACCTTGGGCAGGTCACATACCTTCTCTGAGTCTGTTTCCTTGTCACAATGAGATATAGCCTCTAAGGATGGCAAATAACCTCTGAGATTCCTCCTAGTTCTGTGATCATAAATTAACTTGGGCATTTGATTTCTTGTGATTGACATAATTATACATGACTGCCTCTAGCTTTTTCTCCTGAAAATTTTTATCTATTTACCTATCTATCTACTACACATGTATATCTGGTTTTTTTTTTCCTTACCAGTTTCTGTGGCAACAGCCAATAGATCAAATGGTAAAGAACTGAGACTTTCCCCTGGGGAAATGGTTCTTTGTCACTTTCAGTGCTTTTACCTGTAGAAGGAGGCCCAGGCTCTGATTTTTTTCCCTGAGCTTTCAGAAGGTGGTATATACTCTTGCTTTAACTGCTACTGATGTATGATAGCAAAGAAATTTTGTGCCCAACAGTGCAAAGCAGGGTTTACTGAAAGCTAAAAGATTCTGGCATTTTGTGCCCCCCTTTAATGAGTGAGAGTGCCAAACTAGACTCCTAACCCAGGGTGCTGAGAATATTTTTATAGTTATCCCAAAGACTCAGTATGCAGAATGAGCCACTCATTTTTGGACACAGCCAAAGAGGGGATTTCTTTTGCTTGACTATGTATGTTTGTTACAAGGGCTTCCTTTTCCTTTTTTTTTTCTTTGTCAACGTAGGGTGGTAGGGGAAGTGGTGAGAGGGAGAGAAAATAAATGCTTATTAATTGGAGAAATTAAAAGTAATTAAAAATAGTTACCCCAAGTTCTTGAGGGTAACTATTAGGGTTTGTAAACAGCAATAGAGCCTCTGTTAGGTAAGACAAACCTTCCTGCTTCAGTGAACCTTTTTCATTCTGTTAGTTTAAATATTTATACATATTTTGTGTCTTTACACACACACACACACGGATTAGTAGATAAAGTGCTGGACTTAGAGTCAGGAAAACCTGAATGCAAATTCTACCTCAGACATGCACTATATTGTGACCCTGGACAAGTCACTTAACTTCTGTCTGCCTTAGTTTCCTCATCTGTAAAATGGGGGTGACAGTAGCACCTACCTCCAGGCTTATTGCAAGCATCAGTGAGATAATACATGTAATTGAAAATCTTTGCACTTTGCAACTCTTAGTGCTATATAAATGCTAGTCATTATTATTGTACTTTTCCTCCTTCTTTGTAGAGGAGGTTTTAACTGCAGCTTTGTGTCTTTCACAATCCATGTAGTTTACTTGGACTGAATTCTTCTTCACACATTCTCCTATCTGTGCTTAGCAAAGTATTTTATATTCTGGCAAATGAGAATCATGCCATTGTTGTCAACAGTGTTCACTGCTATTTTGCTGGTGCAAATCTCCACCTTTTCCCATTTTCCCTCAGGTTTTTTGTACTCTGAATTCCATCAACTTCAAATGTGTTTGCCTCTGAAAGCTGGTTGGGAGAATAAATGCTTCCTTCTGTGCATAAAATGACTAGAAACCTGTTTTCCCAAAGAAAGAATTATGTGTGGAGCAGTATCTAATACTTTAAGAGGTTTTCTGGGATGGGAGGATACTTTAATTTCTCCTCTGAAAATATCAGTGTAACTTTTGTGAATTCAAATAACGTGGAGAAAAGAGGTGTATGGGGCTAACCAAAGCTCATTGAGGCTTAAGGGGCCTACTGAAGCTACCTGTAGGCCATAGCACCTAGGTTGGTGGACGTAGCCAGAATGCCTCTCCCAGAAAGGAGGTGGAAGGAAAAGCCCAGATTAGCTGGCCCAAGTAGAACAGAGGGAGGCCAGCGGCTTGAACTAATGTAATTAAAGACTCCTGTTTTCTGTAGCAGGACTACTTTCAGTGGGAGTGGCCTACCTCCCCCAGCAACAAAATAGGGCACTATGCTGTGAAAGTGGGACAACCAAACATCCTGCTTCAGTCCTTTGAAGATAGCAGCAAGACTTTCTTGAAGTGGTGGCATAAGCCTAACATTAAATCCAGGCTTTCTCATTTGGATTAACTCTTTGAGAAATGACAGCCAGCCAGCCTCTTCCTCTCAGGTGGTACTCACTCACTACCTTTTTAATCTTGGCAAGTCTGTAACCTTTCAAATAAATGTCTGATCTGAAGAGCACAATTTTGTTGCCTGCCAATAGCTTTGCTTGTTTACCTAATGCTAAATAACATATTACTTGGGGATATTACTCTGCACATTTGGGTTTCGTTAGATATACTCTGGGCCTTCAGCTGTCAAGTTTCATCCCACATAATTTCAGGAAATTTCTTAATGTACAGAATAACATATTTTGTAATGTCAGATATGCTACCTGAAATGGTCCAGTTCTCACAGAAGAAAACTGTTAGCATCAGTTCATATCAGAAATTGTAACCTTTGCTTAGATACAAATCTGGGTTCAGCTACTTACTAGCTATGTGACCCTGAGCAAGTCACTTAAGCTGTATTTGCCTCAGTTTCCTCAACTGTAAAGTAGGGGTTTTGTGAGGATCAAATGAGATAATATTTGTAGAAAGAGGTAGTTTAGTGACTGGCTTTATAAATGCTTATTTCCTCTCCCTCCCCCCTCACCCCACAGCATCAGTCAAATTTTCTTATATTTTGAGTTATGGCTAAAAAACCCCAATGCTTATTTTCACTTGGTATAAATCTCAGCTGTGATTTCATGTTATTGCTTACTTTGGTGAGCTATTCATTCTTTCATGGCAACTTTTGTTTCAGTTTCCACAGAAGGAACTACAGAGTCGTCTGCCTTAGTTGATGACAATGGAAGTGAGGAAGATTACAGTTATGAAGAACTCTGTCAAGCCAGTTCCAGATACTTACAGCCCGGGGGAGAACAGCTAGCCATCAATGAGGTACTGTGGGAGAATCTTGTTCCTTAGTTGGCAAGTATTTTATTTAAGATTCATCATCAGTTCAGAATCCCACTCTCTCCTGTGCTGGTTTTATAATCATGTAACCACGTTAAGGTTTCTAAACAACTCCTACAACAATGACACTTCATTTACCTGCCATGGCTGGACAATAGGGTAGGTGCTATTATGCCTAGGGGAATTTTCTGGGTACCTAACACTTAGCCTTTGAAACACCAAAGAATTTTTTGTTTGTTTGTTTAAACAAATTCTCATAAAATTTTCCTAAGAACATATTTATATATATATATATATATATATGTATATATATGTGTGTGTATATATATATGTATATATATGTATATATATATATGTGTGTGTATATATATGTATATATATGTATATATATATGTACACACACCACATGCATGTATATATATATATTTTTTAAATAGAATGTACTTGGGGAGCAGGAGGCAGGGGATACTTGGAGCAATGGATAGAGCATTGGGCTTGGAATCAGGAAGATTTAAGTTCAAATCGGGCCTCAGACACTTACTAGTTCTGTGACCCTAGGCAAGTCACTTAACCCCATTTGCCTCAGTTCCTTGTCTATAAAATGAGCTGGAGAAGGAAACCCCATTTGCCTCAGTTCCTTGTCTATAAAATGAGCTGGAGAAGGAAATGGCAAACCAATACAGTATCTTTGCCAAGAAAACCCCGACTATTGTCATGAAGAGTAGGATACAACTGAAGCAACTGGACAACAAATTGTGGGGGGGACCCAGAATGGACAGAATATAATTAAATCTTTCCTTGATGACTCAAGGCTGTCACTATGAACAGAAGTCATTGTAATGTGCATGCCCTAGTGGTACCAGGAGTGATGATGATGATGATACTAGCATTTATATAGCACTTTAAAGTTTGTAAAGCATTTTGCAAATATTATCTCATTTTATCCCTACAGCTCTGAAAGGTAGGTGATATTATTACTCCATTTTACAGATGAGAGATAATAATAGCTAGCAATTATATAATGCTTTAAAGTTTACAAAGCATTTTAAATATCTTACATGATCCTTACAACACTACAAGGTAAGTATTGTTCTTATCCCCATTTTATAGATGAGTACTGATTTTATAACATTTTTGGTTTCTTTGCAATCAGGCTTTTTTCTCATCTTTTTTTTAAAACTGCTATCTGCCAATGCCTTCCTCTTACCCAATTTAATTTATTAGGGGTTAAGATACCAGGTAACAAAACTTATTAAAATATTGAACAATATTCAATACATATTGATTAATGCCTCGTAGAGATCTTTTGTAAGTAAAATGTGTACTCTTTGATACATTTTTACACCAGAACTTGGACTTTGTTATATCTTATTTTGGAGCTCTGGTGCCATTTTTTCTTAACCTCCAGGTTTTTCTTTGTGTTTAAGTCAATGAGACCCTAAGTCAATGAGATTTTCTATTTGGGGATTTATAAATCCTTCAAGTGGGTATGAGAAACTCTTCCTAGTGTTATTTCTGCAGTCTTCTATGGCATATTGTTGTCTAATGAATAGAGAAACTGCCTTGGAGTCAGGTGGACACTCAAATACTGTTTTTGGTACCCACTGGCTGTGAACTTAGGGAAATCACATAACCTCTTCTGCCCTCAAGTGATTCTCTTAGACTAAGCTGTAGAGCAGTTGTGGGTCTGCATTAGCAGAGAACAGTTTCCTTACCAGGAGTTTGCTACACCAATAAAATCACAGGTCTGGACCAAAACAAAAAACAGGGTCTCAAATCCTATTGTAGACTCAACCACCAATTATGACATCCAGCACAATGGTAGATGGTTTGGAAGATGCAAGAGAACTATAGGATGAGATTCCTGTACTTGAGGAAGTTATAACTGCTTTTACACTTAACTGTGTGGTTCTGTCTTCTGTTTAGCTAATCAGCGATGGCAACGTGGTCTGTGCAGAAGCTCTGTGGGATCATGTGACCATGGATGATCAGGAGCTTGGCTTCAAAGCTGGAGATGTCATCCAAGTACTGGAGGCCTCTAATAAAGACTGGTGGTGGGGCAGGAATGAGGACAAGGAAGCCTGGTTTCCTGCTAGCTTTGTCAGGGTAAGTGTATACCATTTTCTATCTTTGGATGACAGAATTGGAATAACGGATTTCCAGAACTGGGAGGGACCTCAAAGGCTTTCTAGCCCACATTTATCTTGAACAAGAATTCCCTGCAACATACACAGTGAGTGCTTATCCAACCTTTGCTTGAAGATCTTCAGTGAGAGTGGACCAACCCACTTCCCTGCAAAGCAGCCCTTTGTATGACCGCAATTGTTAGTATAGGGAGGACTTCAAGTGTAGAGAGGCCTGCCTGTAGCAAGACTGTTGTTGTGTGACATGAAGAGAGACAAAATAGACATCTCTGGCCTCTTCTTCTCCCATCCTTCCCCAAGAGAGAATTTCATTCCTGCTAGGAGGGGAAGCACAAAGTTGGGGCCAGAGGGCACTCTGCTTTCCTCAGAAAGAGGAAGTACTCATTAGAATTATATCTATCTGTTCCCTTAAATATTATTAGACTAGGGGATATGATCAGGTTCAAGCTAATTTCTAATTATTTTATCATTATTCGGGTCAAGAAAGACCCCAAGTCTATATCCAAAGTTTGACCCTTTTCTGATCACGTACCAGTTCCACAATGAACACATAGTGATCATAGCAAGGCAGAAATCAGAGAAGGTATATAAAGGAGAATATACACCAGACAATACTGAGTGAAGCAACTTTCCCACTGGACATGAGGTAACTCAGCTCAACCAAGAGAGAAAGTTCTAGCTATCACTCAAAGGGAAACTCTCTGGAGTCTCTACTATGGCAGTCTGGGAGAGGGACATGATGGAGACTGCCAGCTCCTCTCGTGTCTTTCCAGAGTCTTTTCCTTCAGTGACCTGGAGTGGGGTTGGCCTCTTCCACCTCAGCTCTTGAAACTGGAAGCCAGGATTCTGCAGTTAATCAACTCGAAGCTCTAAGAGTCCTGAAGGGGACTGAAGAAGGCTGTAGCTCCCCCGCTGTCTCCAACTCTGTCCTGCTCCTCGAACAGAGCAGAGAATTCATCTCCACCGATAAGGAGAGAGCCCACACCAATGGACTTTGGGACAGGGCTTGCATTTGGAAATATTTCCTTAAATTCCTAACTCTGCCCCCTTCATTGCTCCTATTTCTGCCCTCTTGGGACACACAGAACAAACCTAATTCCTCTTCTACTTGTCTTCTTTGTTTGATAATTGTTTTTTTTCCCCCAGCAAAATTTAATTCTTAGCAATGGTGGAATTTTCTTCTACTTATCCTTATCTACTCCTGTAGGGCCCATAGGTCTAGGGCATGAAAAGAAATTAGACTAGTAACATAGCACCTTGTACCAAGTAGGTCCTTAAAAAATGTTTAAATGAATTGAGAGGTAACATGGCATAATAAATAGAGAACTGGCCTCAGACCCTGAAGGAGCAGGGTTCAGGTCCCATTTCTGACACACCCTGGTTTTGTGACCCTGGGCAAGTCACTTGACCTCTGAGAGCTTTAGGAAAGTCTCTAAGACTATAAACTGCAGAGAAGGTGCCAAACTACACTGGTAAAGGGAACCTCCTATATAATTGAAATTACAGATCCAGCCCCAATCCTCTATTCCTTAAATGAATTGAATTAACTAGACTGAGTTCAAAATAAAACTCAGAGGAGAGTAGACCCCATTGGAGGAATAAGAAGAGTGATGCAAACGTGAAACTCATCAGAGGTACCTGAAGGGTATATCTGTCTCTAGGAATTTGCAAAGCATTGTAAAGATTAAAGGACATTTTGTTGTATCTCGTCGTCCCTAGGATTGGATACCTTGTAATTTATTTTTTATAATTTATATCCATAAAATTCCTGGAATTAAAAAAATTATAGGCAAGTTAAAATTCTAATTATAATAGAAAATAAGACATTCAATTCAACAAACACTTAGCAAGTAGCTATTATGCGTGATAAATTACTAAGGATTGACATGTGACATGGGCCTTGACCTCACACTACCACTATATTTCCCTAGGCACAAATGCACCTGATATCAATTATACTATCATTATAGCACAGGTAAAAACAAAGAGGACTGGAGAAAACTTCGCTGAGTATAATGCTTTCTACCAATGTTCATAAGCTATTTTCACTATGATAGAGAAATAGAAGTTAAGTGGCTCTTAGTTTTGTAATGTCCTTTTCTTCTAACCCAGCTGTTCTTCTGTTTGGATGGCAGTTACGAGTCAATCAGGAAGAAATCTCAGAGAATTCCAGCAGCACTCAAGGTGAAGAGCGAGATTCAGAAGCTGGGAAGCACCGCCAGAAACATTCAGAAAACAAAGACCAGATGAGGACCAATGTCATACAAGAGATCATGAACACTGAACGAGTCTATATCAAGCATCTCAAAGACATCTGTGAGGTAGACTAGCAGGCCCCATTGAATCTTTCAGACTTAATTTTACAGAAGGTGATTGGACCAAGTGTTACCATAAGATTTCTTGCTTTAAGGAGTTGTCTTTTTTATATTGGCTATTGGAGTCCCTTTTTAAAGTATATTATTCATCGATCTGTCTTAGAACTGGACTTCTAAAATCACTCATAGGTCATAGGATCATGGCATTTTAAAGCTGAAAGGAACCTTAGACATCCACTAGTTCAAACCCTTCATTTTACAGATGAGGATTTTAAAATCCCCAGAGATGAAGTGACTTGTTTGCCAGCTGAGATGATCAAGTTACCCCATCTACAAACTGGCTTACCTGCTGCATGGAATGATAGTTAGCTGGTGTTTGACCTGCTACTGAGAAACAGTTTTTCTTTATAAATGATTGGCACATGGCTACAGACCTTACTTTCATTATGGGTTTAGGAATGGAAAATGTGGATTGCAGAGAAAAACAAGGCATCATAAAGTAATACAGTTAGTGTATTCTTTTAGAGATAAATATTGAATACATGAGAAAGAATGTTGCATATAGTGGATTAAGAATTGAACTAAAGGGCAGGAGAACGAATTCTAATGCTGTCCCTGACAAATATGGGCCATGTGTCACTTAGGATCTCAGTGTTCCAGCTCTTATTCTTTTTTTTTTTTTTTTTTTGCTAGGCAATGGGGTTAAGTGACTTGCCCAGGGTCACACAGCTAGTAAGTGTTCTGTGTCTGAGGGCAATTTGAACTCAGGTCCTCCTGAATCCAGGGCTGGTGCTCTATCCACTACACCACCCAGCTGCCCCCTCCAGCTCTTATTCTTAAAGATCAATATTTGTGCTATAAAACAAGTGATGTTGTAAGTTATAAATTTAGTGATGGAATAATTGGACAACATCTGTTGGATACCCTTAGGCTTTTCGTTCTTTTTTAGCTGTCATGATTAGTAGTGAACAGTTGAACTGGCTCTTTAGCAGGGGAGGATATCATATATTCTGACAAATTTTCTAGTCTGAAATAGATTTATATCTCTAGTCTGAGATAGAAAACTGGTGGTCTGAACAATTCAGAGAAAGACAACAATAGAAATTGTGAGCTCTTACCCTGGAAATCAAGCAAATTTAGGGTTTGACCTGGAACTTTTATGCTCTTCCTTAAATTATTTTCTTTGCTTTTTTTTTCATTTCTGTAGTTATTTGTGAAAATTTTTAAGAGGTCCCTAACTGAGTACATAGTATTATCACAGTAAACCTAGAGAAGAGACCCTGGTTTTCCCCTGAGGCCTGGACAGTTGGAATATTTAGAAGGGTTACTTAAATGGAAGTGCTTTCGAAATTAATCAAAAATACATTATTTCCCCTCAGGGTTATATTCGGCAGTGTCGCAAACATACAGGAATGTTCACTGTTGCCCAGTTGGGTACCATTTTTGGAAACATTGAAGAGATTTATAAATTCCAAAGGAAGTTCTTGAAAGATCTTGAGAAGCAATACAATAAAGAAGAACCTCATCTGAGTGAAATAGGATCCTGCTTTCTTCAACATGTATGTCACTGTTTAGCTAATTAATATAGCATTGGTAGTTTCCAAACATTTGACTCTACCAAGAAGAGAAGGCCTTGTTCATTTATACAGATGGTTATATTTTCATGGCATGTAGCTATAATTTCTTTTAAATACAATGATTAGTTCATACAGGGTACAATGGTAAAAAGTACTTTTTTCTTAATCTAATGAAATACTCTGAGTTCATTAAAAATTAATAAATAAAAACCTTTCTACCTTGATGAATTCAGAGATTATAGGGTCACATTTGGAAAGATTTCTATCGAGTATAGAGTGCTTATGTCTGGATCTTTTCTCTAAGAAGTGTGTGGTGGGTCAATATTAAATCATAAATTACTACATTTTGGCATTGGGATCTCTCCCTTCTGCCTCATTTCAGAAAGCACCTAAAATCTTAGAGGCCTACCTTGCTCCCATACATGGATGGGTGTATGATTCTTCCTTAAACTTAAAGAATATTCTATCTTGACATGAACTATAAAAATCTATTTCCTAAAGTTGTTTCTAATGTACTTAAATAATTTATTATCTGGCTGATCCTTTTTTGGGAGGAAGGGAAGTAGGTGGGCAATAATCTGCCCTCCCTAGCTAAAGGGTAATGTTATACTTGCTCCCTACCCCCATCTGAAAGACTGTACCTTGACAAATTACTACTTGAATTTTTACTTGTGTAACCCTAGGTGAGGCTCTTAATCTTTCCAGACTTCCATATGCTCATTTGAAATGAGCGAGGCTGAATTAAAGTGGTGAGATCAAACTCTAATAGGAACAAATCCCTACCAGTGATATATTGACTTAGAAAACCACAAATTAACATTGTCAGTGTTGTATTATATTTTTATTTATTTGTTAAACATTTCCCAATTACATTTTAATCTTATTCTGGCTTTGGGCCACTCTGCTCTAGACAACCTCTAAGATACCATGCAATTCCAAATCCATGGAGTGATCAATAAGGTAATGACCCTAGAACCAGGAAAATTAATTCAATCCTGCCCCAGACATTTACTAATTGTATGACCCTGGGCAAAACACTTAACCTCTGTGCCTCAGTTTATTCATTTCTAAATTGATACGGTTGGACTGGATGGCCTCCAAGGCAGTAATATTTTTATACTCAAATTGGTTGTAAATTAGTTGATCAGTCAATAGATTAAGTACCTCTGTGTGTTATGTACTGTGGTAGTTACTATGAGAGAGGAGGGTCCCTGTTCTCAAGGACTGTATAGCCTAGGTACCTAGGTACGGAAAGATCATTTAGAACATAAAATTATAAATAATACATGTCGAATAAGTGCTATAAGACAATAAGTACTTTAATTAAAGGGAGAGAAGCTCACTTCTGGCTGATCAGAAAGTTTTCACAGGGGTGGGTCTTGTTGTTGTTTCAGTTGTTTCCGTCCTGTCCAACTCTTTGTGACCCCATTTGGGGTTTTCTTGGCAAGGATGATGAAGTGATCTGCCATTCAGTATGCCCAGATGGATAAATTTTCCCAAGGCTATACAGCTAGCAAATTAGATAGTCAGGTCTTTTGATTAAAGCTAGTAAAGAGTTTTTGTTTTTGTTTTTGAATAGAGAAGACTTCACATAAATGTTTTGAGATGAGTCTTAAGAAATTCAGTTGGGTTTTGAACAGCTGGAGTGAATGAGGGTGAGGGAGGAATAGTCAGAGTAAGTTGAATAGTATAACTAGAGGCATAACAGGCAAGAGAGAAGACATACCATATATGACATATCAGGAGATTGTGAATAGACTGGTTTGAGTGGAGCAAATTTCGTGTGGGGGAGTAGTGGAAGATAACACTGGAAAGTAGCTTGGGACAAAATTAGGGAGACCTTCAATGCTGGATTAAGGAGTTTAGACTTTATTTGGTAGATAATTGAAAGTTGTGGAATATGGGGTGGTGATCTGTTGATAGCAGAATTTAAGAAGATAAATCTGGTAGTGGTGTACATGATAAATTGATACGCAGTAACATTTGGGGCAGAGTAAGCATTTAGAGAGAGGCAATTCCAGGAATCTAGGCACGAAGGGATGAAAGCCTGAACTAGAATGATACCAGGAAAATAAACTGGAATAGATGTGAAAGTTATTTCAAAGGAAGAATCATCAAGATTTGATTGATTGACTGTCACAGGTGAAGGAAATGAGGGAATCATAGATGACCCCGAGGTTTTAAGACCAAGTTACTAGAAGAACAGTGGTATCAATTTTTTAAAGGAAAATGAAATGTTTATTTTCAGACATGCTAAGTTTTATGTGTTGGCATTACATTCAGAGAGTAATATCCACCAGAGTTCTGGAGAGATGTCAGGATGGACTGAAGATATGGAAGTTATCAGTATAAAGGTTTATAGCATCCCAATATTTAGAATTGAAAGGGACCAACCTACTAATTTTATAAATGATAAAACAGACTTGGAGAAGGAAATTGGCTTGCCCCTGGCTCACAAAGGTAGTATATAGAAGTGCCATGGTTTGTTGTGCTGTTCATTTGTTTCAGTCATGTCCAACTCTTCTTGACCTTACTTGGGGTTTTCTTGGCAAAGATAACTGCTGTAATTTGCCATTTCCTTCTCCAGCTCATTTTATAGATGAAGAAGCCGAGGCAAACAGGGTTAAGTAACTTGCCCAGGGTCACACAGCTGGTAAGTGTCTGAGGCCGGATTTGAACTCACAAAGATGAGCCTTCCTGTCTCCAGGCCAAGCACTCTATCTGCTGTGCCGTCTGGTTTAAAGGACTAACTATGCCCACCATAGTCATTAATGTGGTCACCTCATTCCTCAGCCATTCTGCCAAGTACCCCGGCTTTATAATCCAATTCTGCTTTTGCTTTACAGCAAGAAGGCTTTGCCATCTATTCTGAATACTGTAACAACCATCCTGGGGCCTGCCTGGAGCTTTCGAACCTGATGAAGCAGGGCAAGTACAGGCACTTCTTTGAAGCCTGCCGCCTGCTTCAGCAGATGATTGACATAGCCATCGATGGATTTCTCCTGACTCCCGTTCAGAAGATTTGCAAATACCCTCTGCAGCTAGCTGAGTTACTGAAGTACACCACTCAAGAGCACAGGTGGGGAAACTTGGAATAATCATTTTTTGGTCACTTATTAGAGGTAGTGAGGGGTTGAGTGGATAGAATATTGGGCCTGGAATCTTGAAGGAAAACCTGGCTTCAAATCCAGCCTCAGATACTGAGCTGTGTGAGCCCAGGCAAATCACCTAGATCACAATAGTACCTACTTTTCAGCATTGTTATGGGATCAAAAAGCACTTTGTAGACCTCAAAAGCACCATACAAATATCAGCTATTATTATTGTTAATTATTTTAGGCACTTTTAGATTTTGTTGGTTGTCATTGTTGTGTCGTTTTTCAGTTGTGTCTAACTCTTTGTGACCCCACTTGGGGTTTTTTTGGCAGAGATACTGGAGTGGTTTTCCAGTTCCTTCTCCAGCTTATTTTACAGATGAGGAAACTGAGGCAAACAGGGTTAAGTGACTTACCCAGGGTCACACAGATAATAAGTATCTGAGACTGGATTTGAACTTAGGAAGAGGCATCTTCCTCACTCTAGGCCTGGCACTCTTATCCACTGCGCCAACTAGCTGCCTCCAGATTTTGTTGGACTTCTGTCCAAATCCAAGGCTAATAAAAATGTCACAGCAATCCTGTTTGTACTTGAAGATCACTATTATTTATAGGAAATACATGGAACAAGAAGAAAAGAACTTAAATTGCAAGAAGTACTTGGGAAGTCCTTTGTAGTTCAAATTGTTAATCACGTGAGAGCTAAGAAAGGAGAAGCCACAATTCCCATTCCCAGTTCCCCTGCCCCTTATCTCCTGTACCCTGACTATAGCAACACACTCCTAGGTTAATCCTAAAGATTTTAAATTTTCTTTTATTGTTAATAAACAACATTCACAACAATATTAAGAAATAAATAAACCAAATATGGACTAAATCTCCAAGTAAAATTCTTAATATCTAAACCACTTACGCTTTAAAAAAAAAGATTATTACCTCTATTTTATCAAAACAAAAACAAAAATAATACATTTGTTCTTCCATTCCTAATAATATGTCTTTGCACTTTAAAAAAAAATTTCTATTGATATGTTTTGTTTTTACATTGCAGACATTTACTGATTATTCCTACTTTGTGTGAGGTCTCTTGAAAGAAAACAGTTAAGTAAAATTAATAGTATAGTGAAAGTATGTGAAGCATTTCACACCTGAGTACCCCTGCACACCTCTCTATTTTTAAAAAATGAAGAGACATCTATTTTTTTTTCCCTCCCACCCCACCGCACTGGGAAGAAAAAAGTTCTTGTAATAAATATGCATAATCAATATCTTTGTACATATAAAGATCTGTTGATTTTTTTTCTTTAAAAATATAATTATAGGCCGTCTATGGTTCTGGTTCTGCTGATCGTATATTGCTTATGCCTTCTCATATTTCTTTATATTATTCATTTTATGGTGTCATAATACTCCATTATAATAATATACTATAATTTATTTGACCATTTCCCAATTGTTAGTTTTTCCTCTTAAAAATTTTTTTTTATACCTAGGTCTTTTTTTTCTTTAAAAAAAAAAAGTACTGATACAAATGGCCATTTTACATTGTAATAATTTCTCTATAATTTCTCCCTCTTCTCTCCACTCCATAATCAATTTAGCAACCATGTCTGCTATATTCAGCACCCTTTCTCCCTCCCCCACCCCAATTCCCTATCCTATGAGAGGAGAGCATTTTATTTTCTATCCTTTGGAAACAGAATTGTGTTCATATTTCATTTCAGTCATTGCATTTAATATGAGTTCAGCTGTGTTGTTTTCATCCACATTATTTTAGTCATTGTGAATATTGTTCTGATTCAGCTTTCTTTACATCAGTTCGCATAAATCTTTCCAATTTCAGTTGTGCATATTCATTGTTTCTTATGGGACAACAATATTTGATTACATTCATATATTAAAATTTGCTTAGCCATTTTGGAATCAGTGGTGACCCCCTTTGTTTCCAGTTGTTTTTTAACCACAAAAAATGCTAGTATTAATATTTTAATACGTATGAAACTTTCTTTTTGTCCTTGACTTTCTTGGATACATGCCCAATAGTAGGATTGTTAGGCCAAAGAGCATAATCACTTTTCTTCCAAAATTCAAAAAAATGTTTTCCCAAATGATTAGACCAGTTCATAATTCTACCAAGAAAGTATCTTTTTTTTTCCCCCCTCTCATTCTAATGATATCTTTAGGATACAGCCCCAGCAAAAGGATTATTGGGTCAGAGGCTATGAGTAGTTCTTATGACTCATTGTTTATTGCCAGATTATTTTGCAAAAGATTTGTACCAGTCTGTAGTCCCCACAACTATCTAATAGAGTCTATTTTCCCACACCCTCACCAATCTTATCATGTTTTACTATTTTTGTTTATAACAATCTTAATTGCAATAAACCTTACTTATCATAAATACTGAGATTTTATGAAGATATAAACTATTTGTAGATAAGCAATTAAAGATATGAAGTAGATACAGAGTCTAAATTAGAGCATATCTTTCTGATGTTTAGATACCTCTGTCTAGCCACTTTCCTATTCCTAGTTCGAGATGATTATGGCTGTCTTCCTGAAAAATCTCTTTCTAGCACCAGGGTGCTTTGATCCACACAGTCTAGCCTTCTGGTTGTGTGAGAGCTTTCTGGACTTTCTGGTCCTCAATTTTTATTCTCACTCCAGGCTAATTTACTGACTGAGCTTTCCTGGCTATTTAGAAAATCCATATCATCTGATGCTTAGTTTCTACTGAACTGAAAAAAAAAAACACACACACACACACACACACACACACACACACACACACACACACACACACACAGAGTTTTCTTTTGTTTTGTTTTCTTTTTCTGCCTCCCCCCTTGAGTCCTGGGAGTTTTCATTGTTCTTTTCGACTTAGAGTCTTTTGAGCCCTCATATAAGAGCTAAAGAGATGTGCCTTGTTAACTAGCAACAGTAAACCCTTTTTGTGTCTGTACAGAAACCACAGGCATAATTATAAAAAAGATGCCACACCAGTGGGAACCTGAAATGAAGGACAATTCACCACAGTGGGACATGAGTTTCACTTGCCTCCAAGCACTAATGATGGGTTAATTTTATTGAATCATGCACAGGTTCTCCCCTGGTTCTCCTGGCAAGCCACAGTACACATTTGTAAGATCATGGTATTATAGAGTTAGAGGAAATCTCAGTGGCCATGATATCCAACTGATTATAGCTAGCATAATTTTTGTTGGGAGGAGAGGAGTGGTCAAATGCCTGTCTTTGGCTTCACTATCCTTATGCTTGGGCCATCAAGTATAACTAGGCATTGACAGTGTAACCTTTATGGCTGCAGTAAGAAAAGTGGGAGGGAGGGGATTGTATCTACCGGATGCTTACTTCACAAAAGCATAATAGCTCTGGTTTTGAAGGACTATCTCCAGCAAAGTAATCAAATTAACTATCCTCAATGCATAGCTTTGCCAGATACAAAAGAAGGGATTGACTCTTTTATCTTCTCTCTAACCATACTCCCCTTCTTGAAATTAGATTTGGGTTGAAGCAAAGCAGTAATTGAATATAGCACAATGGACTCAAGTGAGAGTTGATGTGAAAATGGTTTAAAGAACATGGAATAAAGGAAATAGTTTGCCTATATATAGCAAGAAAAAGAAGTCAACCATTACTTCTTTAAAATTTTAATTTGATTGATTTTCAATGAATAAAAATCTGGTTTTTTTTCTCCCTCTCTCCTCTTCCCCCAGTGGGGAGGGAGGGCAGGAGAGAGGAAAAAGAAAGACAAAACCATTGTCACAAAGATTCGGAGTGAAACAAAACAAATTCCTCCATTGGCTCTGTCTGAAAATATATGTCTCAGTGGTCGTCATTTATCTTCTGGAATCAAGACTAGTCATTGAATTGGTCACTATTCTTAAATCTTTCAAAGTTGTTTGATTTTAAAATGCTGCAGTCAGGTAAATTGTTTGGTTATTTTTTTCCTTATGGAAAAAGAAAACAAGCTCATTGGAAAAGATAGCAAATTCTCATGTGAATAATAAATTTGGGGAGTTTATAAGTTCCCAATTGGCTAAACTTCCATTGTTGAAACTTTTCCAGAATGGCAAAGTAAAGGGAAACTATGGGAAAGATGCCTAGAAGGACATAGTAAATTGATAAGAGACATTCTGGGATATCTGCTACCAAAAATGAACAACGGGATACTTAGTTCTCAAATGAGGGAGGGAGGGAAGGAAGGAGGTAAGAAGGAAAGAAGAAAGGAAAGAAAGAAAAGAAGGAAAGAAGGCAGGCATTTTAAATTCTTGCCTCTGAATCCTTAGTGTTGTACAATGTTGGCCAAATTTTAAAACCTCATTTGGAAAGAAAAAATGAGAAGTTTCTTCTCTTAGAAGGACCTCTACTGTCATCCATGACCAAATAACAGACCGGGCAGTTTATCTATCATATTATCAAAAGAGACTGAACTTGGCTGCTTTTCTGATCTTAGAGAGATTTGTAGATTGAACAGATGTAGATGGTGGGGAGACATGAATCCTCTGCATTTATTCTTTATCACTGTAGGGGAAAAAACCCTCCTTTTTGGTCATTACTGTGGGAATTTCTGTGGCTACAGTTTGTCTTTTTGTTTTTAATTTCCTATTTTTTTGGTCTTGGTCTCTGAGTTTGTTTCTGTACTCTTGCTGATTTCACTCAGAAAACAGTTATCTTGACAGCAGTGTTTATGTGGGAAAAGGGCCTGGGATTTCCCAGGAGCTATGCTGTTTATTGTGTTTGTAAATAGACAATAGAATTGGCTATCTAGCTCCCCCTCCTCCCTCCCCTCCCCTCCAATCTCCCCAGGGCTTCTAGTCCCTAGGAGGAGGCTGGGAGCTGTGTCTGTACAGTCTGAAAATGTTGGAGAACATTTAAAAATGTGGACCATGCCAATGCATTGTATAGCCTGTGTGCAGACTAGAATTCCATTGTCCATTCTTCCAGGACCTACGCTCCTTTATAAAGTGGTACAAATAGCAAATGATACTCCCATGTATGTAGTGTTTTAAAGTATACAAAATGGTTTTTCCTCACAGGTCTGTGAGATTTGTCGTACAAATGTTGTTACCTCCATGTCACAGATGAGAAAACTTAGGGAAGTTACCCAGATAGCAAATGTGAGAACCAGGACTGAAACTCATGATTCTTATGACTCCCTTTCCAGTCCACATGCTGCCAAGAGAAGCTGGAAACTGGTTGGGGTGAAGCCAGTTAAGTTTCATTTGCCTTGATCAGAATGCACAGGAGACACTGTAGAGTAAGGCTTGCACATAGAGTCAAATGAACATTTGCATTTCTGTGCCAAACTGCAGAAAGCAATCTCATTCCTGTTGATCAGTTTATCAGTGATTTGCTGATGCTGAGTGTTGGGTTTTTTGCCCCTAAAGAGTTGAAGATTTTGACAGTATTTTGTATAATGGAATAGAATTGAAAGAATAAACAAAACAAAACAAAACCAAATTTTCTTTCTTGAGAAGAAAAATGCATGCTTGTTGTGAAAAAAGCTTATTGCTGGGTGGAATTCACTTTCATTCATGTGGCTTTGTCGCTAATGAATGAATGCATTCTGTGGGTGAGGATTTTGAATTACAGTCCCTCGGTCAGCTCACTTAGTATCTGCAGACTATCGCCTTTTCAGGACTGACCACAAAACAGAAAACAGTAACTATTTACTTGCCATTTGCTCCAAAGTCTTGTTGTGACTGAGCCTTGGTGACTTAGGTGACTATCTTAGCAGCTGTTGTTTTTCCTTGGCATAATATTATGTTATTAAAATCAACCTCCCCTTTTTCAGCGATTACAACAATATAAAGGCAGCATATGAGACTATGAAGAATGTAGCATGCTTAATCAACGAGCGCAAACGCAAGTTAGAGAGCATAGACAAGATAGCACGCTGGCAAGTGTCCATTGTGGGCTGGGAGGTAAGTGCTAACCCTGCCCCCACCAGCTAGCATTTATCCTGCCTGTATCCTCTTCCTCTGTCTATTTTCCTGATGACATACTTTATATTCTGTGATTCATTCTTAATATATGGTGTTCTTATGATATAAACATTTTAATGGCCTTTTATTGAGTTGTAGAAGTCACTTGCTTTATTTGCATTAACTTTGTCCTTCTGCTCACCTTAATCATTGACTCAGTGAAAACCACAGTCTAACCCAGCAGACAGGACTTTGGATCTGCAGAGATGTTGCTTGAGAACAGATCAATTGATACTCTCCAGAATTGTTTTTAGACTAAACATGTTTTATCTGGCTTGGAAATTCTGAGACTTAGATGGGCAGGAATGAGTTTTTGATTGGCCTTTCATTCCTGTAATGGAAATGGGCTTTCCCAACGTAGCTGGCAGAGTCTGGGAGTCACTGATGGTTTAGTCTTTTGCCAAAAGAAGGTTCTGTTAATGGCACCTCTCTCAGGCACCCAGACTCATAATGTGGATTTCATTCCTTCCTTTTCCTCCTCTTTCCCTAAATCAGATCAGTTTCCAGGTTACTTCCCAAGCATCACTTGCATTCAGTTCCCTTGGGCCATCACCCTATTTCACACTCTCATTGCATTTTTTCTGGGTTATGGCAGTAGCTTCCTGAACAGTATTTCCCTGCCTCCAGGATTGCCCCTCCTCCCCACTACTCCATCTTGCACATGTCTACCAGTTTCTTTCCATTACTTCAGTGGATCTCTGATCTCATCAATGTGGGTATTTCCTCCCTTGTTGTAGACTGTAACCCCCCTATGCCTGGCCAGCTTCTGTGACTCTCAACCATGTTCTTCTGTAATTCGCTATAGGTGGTCTTCCCAAAACATTAGGGCCTTCCTCTAGATGTTTGGATATCATATGAATATCAGTGGAGAACACTCTCATTATATCACCAACCCATTTCCCTCCCAGTCATGCATTGCTCTAATAACATCCTTTACATCTGTTCTCTTATGTAGTTCTTTGTTTATAAATAGACTATTGAAGCCTACCACCTGCCTCTCCATTTGGATGACCCTCAACCTTAACCCCTTCAAGACAATAGTCAACCATTACTTTTAGCCATAAAGCATCACCAGAAGAATGTTGTTGTTTAAAAGATTGATTTGCTTGCCAAGAAGGAGATGCTTGCCAGAATGGTCTTCCTAATGCACCCTTCCAACCATGTCACTCCTGTTCAAAAACCTTCTACTCCCCATCATCTACAAAATAAAGTCCAAATTCTACCATGTTAGTAGTCAGTGTTTTACAATCTAGCCCCAACCTATCTTTCCAGTCTTATCTCTTGCTACTCACTCTATTCCCCACCCAAAATGGATTTCCCTGAATATACATTTCCCCGTATTTGTTCATATTGCCTAAAATGCCATCACCACATAGTGCTCCACCTACCTGTCCTTTAAGCATATCTTGAAATGGTGCTACCTTTTCCAAGAAGTTATTTTTTCTCCATACTCTCCATCCTTAATGGTTATGATCTCTCTCCCCTTTGTAGCTTCTACAACACTTTGTACTCCTTATATTGTATTTTGCACTATAGTCATTTGCATGTCTATAGTATGCTCCTTCCTATATTGTAAACTCTTAGACAGCAAGAACTCTGTTCTATTTATGATATCCCTCATAACATCAAGAATAGTGTCTTATATGTATGAGCAACACAATGAATATTTATTGAATTGACAGAATAGTCTTCCTAATACACCCTGACGCATGGAAGTTTCAAATTGTTCAAATTTAGACTCGTGGAATTGGAAGGGACTTTCATAATTCTCTACATGATACGTCCTTCCCCCAATGTCACTGTCATTATGCAGATGAAGATCTGAGGGAAGTTCAGAATCATAAAATCTCCTATTTGGATAGACCTCCAAGGTCAGCCAATAACAACAACAACAACAAAGATCGATAACAATCACATTTACCATAGCACTTGCAGATTTACCAAATAATTTCATCACACCAATCCTGTGAAGTGGGTAGTGGAGATGTTTTTATCCGAGTTTTACAGATGGAGTAACTTGGACTCAGAGGAGTTAGATGATTTATCCGTGATCATATACTTGGGTGTTAGAGTTAGAGTTTAGATTGAATCTCTCCTGCTAAATGTATTTCCATGTACCATTATTGATCAAGTCAAACTTTATATCCAGCACATGAATGCCTTTTACCACGGAGGTGTCAAGCACATGTAGGCCAAATTGCAGCCCACAGCACTCCCACATGGGGCCTGAAACAGATTAAAATGTAATTAGGAAATATTTAATGAAGTAAATGAAAATACAGTAAAACATTGACAATATTAATATGTGGTTTTCTAAGTCAATATGTGACATGCAGGGATCCTTACATACAGTTTAGTGGCCCTGTTTCTTTTTGTGTTTGATATCACTGTTCTACAACATCCCAAACAAACTTTTAACTCTAGATGAAGGGCCGTACTATCTCATAAATCAGCCCTCATTTCATTTCTTTTCTTTTCTCTTTTTTTTTTAGAGAGGAATTCTTCCTTATGTTGAAACTGAAATGTTTCATTCATTGGTTTTAGTTGAAGTCAAGTCAACAAATATTTATTAAGCATCTAAAATATGCAAAGTACTGTGCTGGGTGCTGGGGAAAGTACTGTAGGACACCTCTGACTCAGGATGGGCCTGGTAGTTTAAGTTTGGGAGTGAAGCAGAATGAGGCACTCCTAGACTTCTAACACTGGGGTGGGGAACCTGTGGCCTCCAGGCGGCAGGTTCTCCACCTTTAATCTAAAAAGGAAGTTAAATTGGCGGTAGCACAGAAAGGACATTCAGCAAGAAAACAGAGTTGATTCAATAAGCACAGCTTCCCTCTGCTTATGCATTTGCCATAGGGGCATGTCAACAACAAGAAAAAAGCTCCTAAACCTTCTGGCATTGGCTTTTGTACTCAGGCCACCAGGAAGCCACTCCAGTGGTTCAAGCCTTAGTCTCCTGGGCCAATTAAGCCTCAAAGATGCTTTTGCAGTAACTTTGAGGGAACAATCAGCCTAGCCCATAGCAGAGTATTAAGGAAAACTAGCCCAGCTTACTTATCTACCCTAGTAGATATTTCTTCTACCACCATTGCAAAGATAAAAGCCTTCAAGGTATTCACGTTCTGCTAAGGGAAAACACCATGTGCACAGATGAGCATTAATACGAAATAACTGAGGAGAGAAAAGAGATCTAGCAATGGTGGTGTTAGGGGGTGAGGGGAGGATCAGGAAAAGCTTCACTAAGGAGGCAGCACCTAAGCAGATCTTTGATAGAACACGAGGATTCTGAGAGGGAGAGTTGGCATGAGGGACAGACAGTGTAGATATGCAATAGTCTGGAGCAGAATATTGAGTTTGGGAAACAGATAGTAGTCCAGTTTTGCTGAAATTGTGCAATGTAAAATGAGGCTGGAAAGGTAGGTTGCAACCACATCGTGGAAGACCTGAAACATCAGGCAGAGGAGTTTCTATTTTATCCCAGGGCTTACCTCAACTTTCCTGATGAGATATTTGTAAAGCTTTTTGCACACCTTAAAGCACTATATAAATGCTAACTGTTATCATCATCATTATCATTTCTTATTATTACAGGCAGCTAGGTGGCAGAGCTGGGTCTGGAGGCGGGAAGACCTGAATTCAAATCTAGCCTCAGATACTTACTAGCTGGGTGACACTGGACAAGTCACTTAACCTCTGTTTGCCTCAATTTCTTCATCTACAATATGGGGATAATAAAAGCACCTACATCCCAGGGTTATTGTAAGGATTAAATGAGATAATAATTGTAAAGGACTTTGCACAATGCCTCGTGCATAGTAAACACAATATAAATGTTAGTAATTATTATTGTAATTATTATTATTATTATGCTGTCCCCAAATCACACATGTAGTGCCAACAGAACCTTAAGAGGACATTTTCCAACTCTCTTAATTTTACAGGGAAGAAACAGAGGTCCAGAAGGTTAAGTGACTTGCCCAGAGTTAACCAGGTAGAAAATAACAGAGCCAGGCCTCAAACCCAGATCCAGACGACATTTTAGCTCTTTCTGCTGTACTACACTGCCTCACAGATAAATACACATTACTAAAATTCAAAGAGAAGCACCTTTTAATGTCAAGGCCCATCCTAAGCAACTATGGGAAGTTAAAATTTCACAAAATTTGCATTGAATCATAATGAAATCCAAACCTCTGAAACAGCATTTTCTGCATTTTCAAAACTGTGCTAGAAGTTTGCTCACCTGGCAATAAATTCATCTGGCCACAGCATCTTATGAAGATGGGAGGAGTTACATCCTGCCCTGAGGGAGGGAAAATACATAATAGTGGTGAAATCTTTTGACTTTGACACTGAGTGAAGTACTATTAGCCCTTTACTTTTAGATTCATTGACAACTTCTGTAATGGCCCTCAGTTCCTAAGACTGAGAGTTGTTTTTTTGTTTGTTTGCTTTAATTTTATGCCCTCACTGTTTACCTGGCTTAGAAAATCTAGGTTTTCCTTATTTAAAAAAAATTTATTGATATCTTTTGTTTTTACATTGCCTCAGTTTCTCTTTGTATCCTTCCCTCTCCCCCCCCCCCCTTAGAGATCCCATCCCATAGAAAACCTAGGTTTTCTAAAAGCATAATGCTCTGATCCCAGGAGGTTCATAATGGCCCTCCAGGTGTGGGGGCACTCCTCTGTAATCCCTACTAATGAGGCTGAAGGACTTCTTGAAATCTGGAATTTTGAGCTATAGTGGACTAAAGCCACTCAGGTCGGACAATGATATGATGAGCTCCTGGGAGCCAGGCCACCAGACAACCTGAAGTGAGGAATGGACTGTGGTCAGAAATGAGGCATTTCAAAATTCCAGTGCTGAAATCAGTAGTGGGATCTGGCCCATGAGTAACCACTGCCCTTCTAGTATGGACAAGATAGGGAGAACCAGTCATACATACGTGCACACATACATGAATAGATGAACAAATAACTAAATAACAAACTATGAACAAACTAACAAAAAAGAGAAATAGGTCAATGCATAGATAGATAGATAGATAGATAGATAGATAGATAGATAGACAGATAGACAGATGCATAGATAGATAAAAAAACAATGGCCTCCTGACTCTCCTAACTTCTTGAGAGTTTGTATAGGCCATCAACCACTACTAATCTCCATGCAATATATTAATCTAGTTCCATATTCATCCAAAGGATTGGTATCATTATGAATACTTCCTCCAAGTAATCTAGAAGCCCCTACCATGTTTTACTACTGCATTAAAAAAAATTTATATAACATCTAAGGAAATTTCATATCTGGACAAACAAGACAGAGGAAGATTGATCCTGACCCTCAGGGATGTATCCTTCTGGGGAGTATTGTTTCCAAGTACTAAATCCTTCACACACATCCACTAAGTGTCAATAGGCCTGTCCGTTTGTCCTGTATAAACACAGTCTCAGGTGGGGGTGCGAGGCGTGGAGGAAATGGATTAAAATCAGAAGGAAATCTTTTAAACTTTTTGCCGTCATTCTAGGGGCTCAATATTTTAGACCGCAGTTCAGAACTGATCCATTCAGGAGAACTGACTAGAATCACAAAACAAGGAAAAAGCCAGCAGAGGACTTTCTTCCTCTTTGACCACCAGCTTGTGTTCTGCAAGAAGGACCTGCTCAGGCGTGACATGTTATACTACAAAGGCCGAATTGACATGGATGAGATGGAGCTGATGGACATAGAGGATGGGCGGGACAAGGACTATAATATCAATGTAAAGAACGCCTTCAAAATCATCAATAAATCGACAGAAGAGGTGTATTTGTTTTGTGCCAAAAAGCAAGAGGATAAAGGCAGGTGGATGCAAGCGTGTGCTGATGAGCGGAGACGGGTGCAAGAAGACAAAGAGATGGGTGAGTGGCAGAGGGCTAAGGAGTTCCCTGGGATTTTTTCATTTTTATTTGTGTGTTTCTTTTATAAATATAATTTATTTTTATGGCAAACTTAACAAATAAAATGAGCATTTCCACATACAAAAAAGAAGAGAAAAAAAAGGATTATACATGAAACCATGAATCTATTGTATACAGCTTGTTTTTCCTCAAAGGTATATAGTAAATTCAACACATAACTAACCAAGTTTTCCTACTGCTTTCCTTTGTGGCCTGACTTCTCTTCGGTGCTTGTGTTAAAGCATGCTTCAGTGACCCTCTTTCATTTGTCTTTTTTTTTTTTGACAACTCTTATCACTTGTGCCCCTCTCCTTAATTCTCCCCACAACTGAAAAAGAAAGGAAGAGAAAGGAAGAGGAAGGAAGGAAGAAAGGAAGGAAGGAAGGAAGAAAGGGAAGAACAGAGGGAAGGAGGAAGGGTCAGACTAAATAAATTCTTACTATTGACCATAACCAAAACATATATCTCGTTCTACACCTTGGGTCCATCACTTCCTTGTCAGGAATCAAGTGGCCTGTTTCATTGTCAGCCCTCTGGAATTGTGGTTGATTATCACAGTGAGCAGAATTCTGAAGTCTGTCAAAGTTGTTTTCCTTTATGCTTTTGTTGTTACTGTTTAAATTGTTGTTCAAGTTCTTCTCACTTCACTCCATGTCAGCTCATATAAGTTTTCCCACCTTGGGATTTAAAAAAAAATTCTTTTTTTCTCTTTTTAACTTTATTTTCCCATCCCATACACTCTACTCCCATAAACCCCAAAAGGTCTCATTGAAAAACTGCTGCTGAAAGGCAACATACCAGAATAAATAGAGAACTGGCTTCAATCAAAGTCAGGAAGATCTAAATTCAGGTGCTACCCTGATGTAGACATGTAGGCGTTCTGATCCTGGGCAAGTCGCTTAACCCCCTGGCCTCCCCCACCCATTGGCTCTGAAAGTTCTCAAAGATTGTGTAGAAGAGCATTTGTCAATCTGTTGTGGTAGAGGAAATTTCAATCAACCAATTAATAAACATTTACTAAGGCATTGTGCTAAACTCTGGGGATACAAAAAGAGGCAAAAAGATAGTCCCTGCCCTCAAGGAGTTTACAATCTAATGGGAGAGACAGCATGTACACAAATATATGCAAAGCGAGCTACATATAGGATAAATAGGAAATAATTAATAGAATTAAGAGGGGATTAGGGGAAAGCCTCCTGTAGAAGGTGAGGTTTTAGTTGGGATTTCCTCAGTGGGAATTTCCTATATCAGTAAAACCACAAGTTTGAAGCAAAAAAACCCCAAAAGTTTACCACTCTTGGAAAAAGCAGCTCTGACATTTCATAACTGAGCAAATCACTTAGCATTGTTGAGTATTTGTTCCCTTATCTGTAAAATATGACTCTGTTCCTCCAAGCGTGGCTGGAACAAAAGTGCTTTGTAAACCATAAAGTACTAGGTAAAGAGGTGAGCTACCATTATCATTTTGAAGGAGACAAATTGTAAGCATGTGCTGTACCAGCTTATGTTAGATGACTCCCCTTTAAATGATATTTTCACAAAGCTCTTTAAAGTTTTGTTTGCTGCCTCGGCAGTTTTCGAGCAGACAACTACCTGTGCATTATCCCATCTCTTTCATTCATGAAGATTAGGCCCCATGCATTATATATTACACTTAATGTAATGTATCTTCCTTCACTGTTCCCCAGTTACTTTTCAGCCTATCATCACTATTTGTCTTTCCTTAGCCTTCCGATTTTCCCAGTGTCTGCTGACTATGAGGTGGCTGGCCTTTTTAGTCTGAAGCTGTTGTGCCAGTATGTTGTTGTTTTGTGTTGTTTTATTTTTTTCTGGCAGTATCCTACAGCCTCTAAGATCTGGATTTGATGTAGGCCAAGCTCCCTCAAAAATTAAAGCACAGATCCTTGAGTGGAAGGCAACACCCCATGAGTACAGAACAAGTCTAAGTAACTTTCACAACTTGCTAGTGGGGGCCTTCCTCATTAAGGGAGAATAAATTCAACTCGACAAGTATTTATTAAGCCTCTGTGTGCCAGGCACTGAACTAGACCATGGGGATACGCAGACAAATTTGAAACATGTTGCCAGCAAAGAGCATGTACTCTAAGGAGGGGATGTAACATGAACTCATTTAAGAATAATAAATTGGGTAGCAAGTAAAGGGAACAAAAGAGAGGTCCAGATGAAATGCTCCTGGAACATATGAGGAATCAGAAATCACTAATTCATGGGGTGAGCAGGAAAGGCTTAATGGAGGAGGAGGTACTTGAGTGCGGCACTGAAGGAAGAACAAGATGTGGAGGGAGCTCATTTCGGATATGAGGGAATGGTTGAATCAGTGGGTGGGTAGATGGATAGATGAATAGATGAATGGATGAATAAATGAAACAACTCTTGTACAGTTGTGGTTGACTTTGCATATGTATGTTATCAATTTTTTCTCTCTCTTTCATATCTAGGAATGGAAATATCAGAATCTCAAAAGAAACTTGCTATGTTAAACGCTCAAAAACCAGGCCATGGAAAGTCAAAAGGTAAGTTATCATAAACAGATTCCAGATTTTCAAATGTTATGGTGAAAAACTGTCACATAGAATGTATATGTAGTCAGCTCTTACCTATTTGTGTGAATGGAAGACAGTCTTGAAGATCAAAAAACATGAAATGATAAATAATCCAAAATAATAGATGATTTTAAAATCATCTGTATTTGCCTTTGAATACGGTCCTATTCTTGGAATTCACAAATTCCCACAAAGTAACGAGGGTGCACGGCAGAAACCGCTCACTCACTAACTTTCCAGCTTCCTCCTCCTGCTACTGACTGCTCTGCTTCTGGTTCTGTTCAGCGAATGAATGTCAACATTCTTTCTGCTCAGACTGAAGCAAGGGATATTAGGGACATAGTACAGGACACTGGGTTCAGGTGAACTGCCATCTCACTAATATCTTTTCTGTAATAAAGAGAAAATCTCAAAAGTTCCATCCTCCTGTGGATTTATAGGCTATATTCTGATCCATTCAAGAAATAACAGTCTAAAAAGAATTAAGTATATAAAGTAAGTCAATGACAAGGAATGAATTAAAGAGGTGTTAATGTCTTCATGCTCACCCTCTCTCTTTGAAAGCATAATAAAGATTTTTTTTACATTATATATAATCTGTATAATACACCCTAAACAAGAATTGTATAGTATTCCCATTGAGAGTTCATAGAGACAGTAAAGTGTCAAGAGACGATGGGAAAGAGGGAACAAGAATTTTTTTTAAAAATTTTTATTAATTTATTTTGATTTGTCAACAATCACTTCCATATGCTTTTGAGTTTAAAATTTTTCTCCCCCTTCTTCCCCACTACCCTCCCCAAGACAGCACACAAACTGATATAGGCTATACATTTACATTCCTTTTAAACATATTTTTACATTAGTGATGTTGTAAGTAAAAATTAGAGCCAATAGGAGGAACCACCAGAAAGAGGAAACAAAACTCAACAGAGGAGAAAAAAAAATAGCAATTCAACTTCCATAGTTGTTTCTTTGGATGTGGATAGCATTTTCCATCACAAGGCTTTTGGAGATGTCTTAGATCCTTGTATTGCTGGGAAGGGTTAAGTTTATCAACATTAGTCATCGCACAACATGGCTGTTATTGTGTACAACGTTCTCTTGGTTCTGCTCACTTCACTCAGCATCAGACCATACAAGTCTTTCCAGGTTTTTCAGAAGACAGCCTGTTCAACATTTCTTATAGCACAATAGTATTCCATTGCATTCATATACCACAACTTGCTCAGTCATTCCCCAATTAATGGGCACCCTCTCAATTTCCAATTCTTTGCCACCACAAAAAGAGCTGCTATGAATATTTTTGTACACGTGGGTCCTTTCCCCATTTGTATGATGTCTTTGGGATATAGCCCTAAAAGTGCTATTGCTGGGTCAAAGGGTATGCACATTTTTATAGCCCTTTGGGCATAGTTCCAAATTGTTCTCCAAAATGGTTGGATCATTTCACAACTCCACCAACAATGCATTAGTGTTCCAATTTTCCCACATCTTCTCCAACGTTTATCATTTTCCTGTTTTGTCATGTTGGTCAATCTAATAGGTGTGATGTGGTCCCTCAGAGTTGTTTTGATTTGCAGTTCTCTAATCAATAATGATTTAGAGCATTTTTTCATATGACTATAGATGGCTTTAATTTCTTCATCTGAGAACTGCCAGAACAAGCATTTATTAAACACTTCTATATGCCAGGCATTATGCTAAGCACTTTGCAAATATTATCTCATTTGGTCCTCACAACAACTCTGTATGTACTAGGAAAGAACATTGATCTTGGAATTGGGAGTCCCGAGTTCAAATTCCTAACAATGATACGTATTAGCTGTATGACCTTGGGCAAGTCTTGTTACCACTCTCAGCCTCAAATTCCTTATTTTTATAACAGGGCTAATAATGCTTGTACTACCTATTTCTTGGGGATCTTATGTGAAAAGTTCTTTGTAAACATTAAAGTTGCTAGAGGATTGAGATTTTTTTATTGTTCATAGTAGAATATAATAGAGGAATAGAATAATTATAATAATAATAATAATAATAATAATAGAAATATAAGAGGGAATGATGACTTCCAGAAGGGCAATGAAGGGGGATCAGGGAATACTTTATATAGAAAGCATAATTTGTTTTGCATCTTAAAATAAAGGAGAAACTTCAATAGATAAAGATGGGAGTGAATGACTTCAGGCAAGGGCATAAGCAAAGAGTAATGTGAGCTAATGTTGGCCAGGCAAGTTGGTTTCAGATTTGTAATTTTTACTTTATTTAGTAAGGCCACTACTAAAGTTTTTTGAGCCAACAAATAACGTGATTAAAGAAATTTGTTAGGGAGATTATAGTGATGTGAAGAATGAGATAGGAGGGAGAATGGAGAAGAGGTAAGCAGACTGCTCAGAAAGTTTTATAAGATAATATAGTCCAGAACTGATGTAGGCCTGAACTAGTATGTTGGCAAGATGAGTAGAGAGAATGTCAGGGGAGGGGAATGTTCAAGATGTTACAGAGGTGATGGAATGAACTTAACCACTAGTTGGATATAAAATGAGTAGGGGGTAAAAGTCAAATGTAGCTCTTAAGTTACAAACCTAGGTAGCTGAGACAAAAATTTTGTCATTAAGAGAGAAGTTAGGAGTAGGGACAGGTTCATGGATGGGAGTGATGAACTCAGTTTTGGCCGTGTTAAATCTGAAGTGCCAGCAAGGCCATCCAGTTGGAGGTATCTGGAATATAACTGGAAATAGGGGACTGATGTTCTGGATGAAAGGATGAGGTAAGAGAGGATTTAAGAGTTATCTGCACAGATTAATCATTGTAGCCATGGAAATCAATGAGATTTTGGTGTTTTGTCTTTTGGTTCATAAATGATGCTTAAATTATTTTCTCCACATTTTCCTGCTTTAGGTTATAATGGGTGTGCTGTGCCTCCCCCCCATCAAAGCTTACATCCTATTCACCAACGCCATATCACAGTGCCTACCAGCATTCCTCAACAACAAGTTTTTGCCCTGGCAGAACCTAAGAGAAAGCCATCTCTGTTTTGGCATACCTTCAATAAACTCACCCCATTCAAGAAATGAAAAAAATATCATCTCCCTGCTGGCAGGGGCTCTGTGTGGAGAAGAGACATGTTCTTTCTTTTCCTCTATTTGAAATCCATCTTGGACTCAGTGCTGAAGATCATCTTTGGTGGGGATCAATGAAGGAGAGGAGTTGAGCTCACCTTCTACCAGGAACTTCTTGGAGGGTAGAAGATCATGATGCACAGTCATAAGACAGCCTAGCACAGTGGTTGCATTATAGGCACTTAATAATGGCTTGTTGAATTGAAACCCTTCATATTCTTTCTGCTCTGAATTGACCAGAGACTTGGAGATCTGTGATGTGCTCTAAAGCAAGTGTTGATTCTACCAAACAGTTGCTAATGATGAGCATGTTCATTGGTGACCAGGGGAGTTGTGGTTTCAAAGGTGAAGATCCAAGGGCCTGTTTTTTCAACTTGTCCCAAGGCATGCCTAGCTTTGGAGGACCACTGTTACATTCCCAATGCCATGCTTGGTTTTGAGGGATATCATCTATAGAATTGAAATATTTCTTCTTCTTGTCATGTGTTCAGTGGGATCTTAGGAAAGCTTTTGCTTTCCTCCAATGCATCTGTTAACCTCATCTCACCCATTCACAGCTGCAGAAGAAGGCCAAGGACCTTCCTGTTCATTTCTGTACTTCCAAATATTTCCCAAGTGGTAGTGGGAAATGATCCACAGCCTTATTCTCTTGCAGGCTAGGAGGGAAAAAAAAGGCTACTGCTGAATCAAATGGCAGCAATAAAGCTTGAATTTCACCTAAGTGTTCAGAAGGTCCTGCTGCTTTCAAGGAAGGAAGTGAGAAGCCCCAGGTCCAGTTGGGTTCATTTTTCCTCAAATTAGCTATTCTCCTGCATGCATTATAGAATTTAGCATGCAGAAATCAACTCTTACCCATAACTCAACCTACGAGGTTCCTTCTGCCAGTCACATATACCTATTTTTATTATAAAAATACAAGTATTTCCATTTTTATGATGATAATGTGAATATATAAAATATTTGTGTACTTCTTCTTCCCATGCATTTTTTTCCCTCCCATGCATTCCCACAAAGCAAACTCCAAATTTACACCCATTCAACTAGAAAGGTACAAAATAGCCAAGGAGAGCATTCCCTTGGCCCTTTGAAATAGGTTTTTATCTTGTGCATCAACATTCCTTCATGAGTGTGACAACAGATTTCTGAAGATCAATCCTTCTTCGTGGAGACCTTGACAAAACATAAGACATGGAGAATGGTCATTTTGGCACATTCATCTTTTCTTTCCCCTTTTTTCCAACTAAGGATACACACTAGCTCGTGTCTGTAGATAACATATGAATTTTAATGAAAGAGTAATTTTTTAAAAAATATCTTATGACAGACTCTTTAAGGGTTTCAAGATGCTTGTTACTTTCATTTTCTTAGCACACTGGAGGAGAGAACCTTATGTTATATAGTTAATGCATTTGTTTTCTAAAAGTGTATTTATGGTAATGTGTTCTTGTCAGATTGCTCAACTGTTTCTAACCAGGTATACTCTGAGAATCAAAGCAGATTGATTTAAGGACAAACAGTGGGTCCGGGTATTCTAGAATGTCACTCTCAAAGCCTCCCCCTCACAAAGTCTGGCATTCCTGAAGGAGAACAGCTGGTGGGAAAGAGCAACCGCAAGATTGTGTGTGAAACCTTTATGGGTCTTTATGACACTTATGCAAAACTTTGATGAAAAAGTATTTGTTCACTAACTTATTGTGATACTTTTGATGGATTATGTATAGGAGGTCTTGTTTGCTATTTAGAATTACTGTGGTTAATGACTCTATGTCAACCTGAGGTAGAAGCTGGTGCTAAGAAAAAGTCATCAGTATTTGTGCTGGTGTGTCTTGAAAAAAAAAAGGCGCTTCAGTTTTAATTGTGTTTGTATAATTGGCCTTTTTACTAACAAGCATTTTTTTAAGAATGTTGAATTTTGAAAACTTAATATACCTTTGATGTACCCATTAGCAATAACTATAGTGATCTGTCTATGCTAAGTGGAATGTATACTAATCAGAAATTTTTTAACAGCTTTTCCATGTTATATGATAGCATTGCCTTAGGGTAGTCAATGGAATTGCTTGACGGTGTTACACTTATAAAATGAAAATTCCGTTTAAAAAAAATTAAATTTTCTTTTTTAATATCAAAAGTTTAATGAACCAATATGTTGTCTCTGCAAAGCTTTAACACATTTTTTCTCTGCTGCATACAAAACAGTGACTTCCAGCTCCTCTACCTCCATAGTCTTCCAAATAGAAAATGAATGAATTTGGGGAAATAGGTTGGTTGAGTTTAGTTTCAGTTCAAATACAGATCTGCTTCCATTTGGTAAAGTTATTGTGCCAACTCAAATTCCTCCCCAATAAATTTGAACAGGGTATGAATCACTTGGCTGCATGTTTTCCCTAGGTGAACACCTACTGAGATATTCAGGGGTTTTTAAACACTCTCAAAGGTTGGTATCTTGAAGAATAAGATGGTGGTTGATACACTTAAGCCTGGGTTTGTATGGTTTGGATTTTGAATAATGTGTGTTTGGGTTCTAGGATTGAAAGGATCAAGTGTCCTTTTTTTGTATTTGCCAAATTCTCTTCTCTGGACAAATCATGTTTTAACTGGGAGAGTAAACAAGAAAGAAAGCAAAAGTCCTACTATATGGATTATGTATGTGAGTTTCTCCAAAAACAACCCAGAGGAGAGATTCAAGTGTAACTCCTCTTTATATATTGTGTAGTAAGTGTTCAAGAAGATTAATAAAATGTTTTAATGGGGGCAGCTAGGTGGCACAATGGATAAACCTTTGGCCTTGGAGTCAGCAGAACCTGAGTTCAAATCCAGCCTCAGACACTTAACACTTACCAGCTGTGTGACCCTGGGCAAGTCACTAAACCCCAATCGCCTCACCAAAAAGCAAAAAATATATATATATTTTAATGTATTTCATCTTACATTGCTTATGAGAGGCAGCAGAGCATAGTAAATAGAGAACTGGCCTCAGATCCAAGAAGACTTGGGTTGGGATCCTCCTGCCTTTGACACATATTGGCTTGACCTTGGGCAAGTCATTTGACTTCTCAGTACTTTAGGTTACTCTCTAAGACTTTTAAGTTGTAGAGATCTGCATTGGTCAAAGATATTTCCTCACCTAGGAGCCCCCTAGACTGATGAAATCATAGTTATAAACCATATTGTTTTTCACGTATTTTCAGAACTCCTTAGCTAGAAAATTGGGCAGGTCCTTTGAAATGACAACTTTTGACAGAAAAAAAGGCTTGAAGTAGAATTTTAGAGTAGAAAGGAACCTTTGAGATCAGTTCCATCTCCTCATTTTACAGATGAGGAATTCCAGGTCCAAAAAAGTTAAGTGATTTGCTGGGTTAAGTAACAAAACCTGAGTTAAGAACGCATAGCTTCTGCCACTTATTACTTGTATGATGAGAGACAAGTCACTTAACCTCTCTGGGATCCATTTATCATATTGAAAATATCCAATCACCTTGCAGAAGAATACAAGCAAATGCTCAGATATTTACTGTGATTTCCAAGTCCCTAGAGAAGAAAAAAGGGGTCTTGGTGTGTGAACTGTGAACAACAACAAAAAGGCAAATACAATTTGCCAGATACATACATGGAGCCTCCAATAATACAGCTGTAGATAGCAGTAGATGTATTTTTTTCCTTTCCCAAATTGGTAGCTAAAGCATTTCACTACCATATAATGACATTGAGCGTTGATGTGCCTTGTTCTACATAGCTCAGGCAAAGACAGGTTCCTTGTCTGTGGAGCAAATATTAACCCCAAGTTGATTTTAAAAAACAATGCTTTCATATATGAAGGACCATTCTCCTTGAGTCATGAAACAATGGCAAAACTATTGCTATGTTATTTTCAAAATTTTGAATACATTACACATTATGTTCAAAATTTGGGATATATTGCACATTACTGTAATTTCTGTGGTTTCTGGTACTTTACCAAGTGGACAACTCTATGTATCAGCCTTTCTAAAGTCCCCTACCGTGTTAATTAGCATACCAATAGACTCAGATTAGAGCAGTAATTAGTTGAGGTTTAGGGCAGAATTATTAGAGTTGTGTGGGGGTGGTTTGGGGGATTTGGGGACAAGGGAAATAGATCTCTGCCTCAAAGGGCTTTTGTTACAATTGTGGTTTCTATTGTCTTTAAATCCAGGTATCTCCCTGTAGGTTGAAAGACAAACAGTACCATACTGGAGTAGCTGGAGAAACATACCTTAACTCCCAGTTTATCAGAATGTTTGATTAGACACCCCTCAATCTCTGAATGTGTCAGGTGACAAACATTTTATTATTATAAGATTATTCCAGAAATAGCTTATAATTTCCCTTGGCTATCGATTTTTTTTTCTCCAATAGGCAGTGAAGGAGGGAGCTCAGAATAAAACAGTGAAAATAAACCATAATTAGTCTTTGCAAAAGACCACTGCTCTAATTTTTGATCCCAAGGTCCTTAAGCATGACTAACACTTGTCAATATCTTTGGCCCTTTTCTAGTCATTGGCATTTGTATTGAAGAAATGCCTTCCTTCTAACTGATTCTGTAATTTAGCAACTATCACTGTGTAAATATTAGCACTAGCTGTATGACTTGCTTACATAGTTTGCCAAGTATTTTTTTGTAACTTTTATCATGTAAATGTTAACTCATTATTTTACATCAAAGTGATGTTGCCCATGTAAATCAAGTGACGGCTTCAAAACAGATGAATTAGCTGTTGACAGCTAAGGTATGATGTACAGAATTGCTGGAACTTGGTTATATATTTGAGCTGAAGTGGTGTATTATAAAATTTGTTTCCTCTTGATGTGGTTTTATGTAAATGATTTCATTTCTTGTAAATGATGTGTGCCTACCATTTTTGTCATTTTACTTCTGTATGGTAAAATAAAATAATTTGTAAAGCTGGTTTCCAGCGATTTTAATAAGCTATAAGTTGTGACTTCTTTCCAAATACAGGGTGAAAATTTTGAAAAGTATTTCCTTGACTTTCCCAGGAACTACTTCTTTTCCTTGTAGGCCCTTCATTTGTTTACATGGCTTTTCTGTATAAAGCCACAGTAAGTAAAGTCTCAGAGAGGAAGGAAGGTGAAAAATGGAACTGACGAAAGTGTGAAGAAGCTTGCTTAATGAGGGGAGAGGGAAAAGAGAAGGAAGAAAGAGGAAATAGCTCTCACATCCAGTCTTTACTTTCTATTCCTATTGCTGCCACTGTAGTCTAATCCAGACACTCATTATCTCCTAACCCAAGTCTTCCTCCATTTTTTGCTTCCTCTAATCCTTTCTTTTTTTGGCTAAAGTATGCAGTATGCAGTATTCCACTCAAAAACATTCTGTGGTCTCCCATTGCCTACCAAATAAAAGCATAAACTCTTTATCCTGGCATTCAGAGAACACCCCAGTCTGACTCCAGTCTATCTTTTAGCTTTATCTTAAATTGTTCCCTTTCCTGGCTTCTCCTTTAAAGTGTACTCCTTCTCATCCTCTCTTGTCTCCGTAGCTTTACTCACAAGTGGAATGAGCTCTGCCTGTTTTCCACTTTTTGAAATCTCTCCCTTAAAATTCCAATTCAGGTGGCACTCAAAGAAACTTTCCCTGACACCTCCTCCCAATTGAAAATGACCTCTCCCTCATATTTCCCATAGTACTTTCAACCTCTTCTTGACACTAACTACATTCTATCATAGTTAACATAAAAATAGCCTATTTCTTCCCATTATAAGCTTCTTAAGGGTAGTGATTGTGTCTTACTTCATGTATCCTGAGCACCTAATATAGCATCTGAGATAATTATTTAATAAATACTTATTGAATTGAATAAAGAAGCCTAGGTAGACATTGGGATGAGAGAATAGAGAATTATATAGGTGGGAGCTGATGAGCAGGCCTTAGAACCAAAAATGAAATCAAGAATCTATCCCAAAGGGCAGGGAAGAGGCAACTAGATGGCATTGTGGATAGAGTGCTGGCCCTAGAGTCAGCAGGACCTGAGTTCAAATATGAACTCAAACACATAATACTCACTAGCTGTGTGACTCTGGGCAAGTCACTTAACCCCATTTGCCTCACCAAAACAAACAAACAAAACAAAGGGTAGGGAAACCTATTGAAGACAGGCATACTCTGGTCAAAGAAAAGAAAAATGTAGCAGCAACATTTATGACTGAAGGTAAAGAATGAAGAAGATTGTTAGAGTAGATTGTAATAATAGCCAGCATTTACATAGTGCTCCAAGGTTGGCAAAACAAACTCATTAGGTTGCAGTGAGGGAGATGAAAGGAGAGTAGAAGAAGATGCCCACCATTCCCATAATGGTTTGTGTTTTTCCAGGTGCTAGTGTTTGTCAAGGGAATTGTTGGCAGGCTGTCTGTACAAAAGGGTTGCCTAATTCCTCAGGATTGATCCACTTAATCATAAAGGTGGAAGGCATAAAGATCAATATCTAATATGTCAGAAGAACTAAGTAAATTGTCCATAGTTTGCCATGAATTTGTGTAGAAGGGAAGGCTCCCCACTATGGTATCTTCTAGATCATGATATTGGTTTCCATTTCTAGAACACTTAGGAAAACTGTATGAAGTAGATAATGTAAGTATTGTCACCTCCATTTTAAGGTGATGAAACACATGAACAATTTGCCCAAAGTCATATATTATCAGAAATTCAAACCTGGGGCTTCTGGCTCATAATCTACTGCACTTTATATATTACCCCATGTTTGGATTTGGGTTGTTGTTGTTCAGTCGTTTCCAACTCTTTATTGACCCTATTTGGGATTTCCTTGGCAAGATACTGGAGTAGTTTGCCATTTCTTTCTCCAGCTCATTTTACAGATGAGAAACTGAGGCAAACAGGGTTGAATAACTTGCCCAGGGTCATGCAGCTAGTAAGTGTCTGAAGCCAGATTTGAACTAAGGAAAATGAGTCTTCCTGACTGCAGGCCTGGCACTCTGTCCACTGTGCCACCTAGCTGTCCACCATAATGTCCTACGAAGTAAAATAGACTGCCTTTCAAAAGGAAACACTCAGGGACTAGAGAAGTTGATAAAAACAAAGAGGTCTTAAAGCCAGAGAAAGCCAGAAAGCAATTGGAGTTTTTTCCACGGAGATTTTGGGGACATGATATTGGACATGATAACTTGATATTAGGACCAGTTAGCACATACAAACATAGACATGTAAGTACATACCTATTATATATCCAAAACTTTGGGTTCATTAAGTCTAGGATAGATCAATGAAATGTTCCTCATAGTGGATGACAGGTCATAATCCCTAGATGGTTTTCTTCTTTGATAAATGGGAATTGGCAAGGCAACTTTCAAATGTCAATTGTGGTAAGTTCATTAAGTCTTGGCATATTTTTTAAATTTATTTTTATTAATTTATTTTGATTTATCAACAATCACTTCCATAAGCTTTTGGGTTTTAAAATTTTTCTTCCCCTGCCATCCTCCCTCCCCAAGATGGCTCACAATCTGACATAGGCTATATGTATACATTCCTATTAAACATATTTTCCCATTAGTGATGTTGTAAGGAAGAATTAAAACCAATAGGAGAAACCATTAGAAAGAGGAAACAAGAAATAGCAAAAAGTATGCTTGGATCTGCATTCAAACTCCATAGTTCTTTCTTTGGATGTGGATAGCATTTTCCATCATGAGACTTTTGGAGATGTCTTAGATCCTTGCATTACTGAGAAGGATGAATCTATCAACACTAGTCATCACATAATGTAGCTGTTACTGCACACAACATTCTCCTGGCTTTGCTCACTTCACT